CAATCCAGTCTTTTCCATTCCAAACCCAGTCTTTTCCATTCCAAACCCAGTCTTAACCTAACTACACATAAATCAGAGGACTTTGCACCACATTTACCACAGAGTAATTTTAGGCTCAGAGTCACAGCAGCAAGTGGTCTCTCCCTAAAACAATGGGGACCAATATATTGAGATTGAGAGGGGGAGAAATAGTTAAAGCTCCCATTTTTCAAGTTTTGAGGGGATATAAACAGGCTGACAAATATTAGGCACAGTCCTTCTCTCTGAACCCAAAACCCCTCCCAAAGCACATGACATGTCAAAAGGTAGTGTGGCCTTCCACTCTGGTCCCTAATTTGTGCCTTAGAACATTCTTCCTTCTTTTATTTAGTTATATATTAGATGTATAGCCTGCCCTCCCCTATCCAACAGGGCTCAGAGCGGGTAACGACAGTATTCATAAATTAAAACAACTCTTACAATAATGCTACTAGTACTAACAAGATGGCACATGAAAGGGAAGTAAAGCATAATGCTCCTACTCTATAAAGGTAAAGGTTCCCTTGCTCGAAAGCCAGTCAAGTCCGACTCTAGGGTCGCGGTGCTCATCTCCGTTTCAAAGCCGAAGAGCCAGCACTGTCCGAAGACGTTTCCGTGGTCATGTGGCCGGCATGACTAAACACCAAGGCGCACGGAACGCTGTTACCTTCCCACCGAAGTGGTACCTATTTATCTACTTGCAATTTCTTGCTTTCAAACTGCTAGGTTGGCAGGAGCTGGAACTAGAGATGGGAGCTCACTCCGTCATGCGGCAACTCGGGTCTCGAACTGCTGACATTCCACAGCCTGCAATTCAGCGTCTTAACCACTTGAGCCACCGCAGCTCCTTCCTACTCTATGAGGGAGCATTTATCATACAGTTTGATGGGAAAGGGGAAAGGAAAGGAAATCAGCCCAGTCCTCAACCATAGTCCTGGCGGAACACCTCCGTCTTACAGGCCCCTGCGAAACTGCATCAAATCCTGCAGGGACCGGGTCCCACACAACAGGGAGTTCCACCAGGCCAGAGCCAGGGCTGAAAAAGCCTTGGCTCTTTTGAGGACAGCTGAATACTCTTTGGGCCAGGGATCACCAGTAAATTGGTACCCATTGAGCGCAATGCTCTTTGGAGGGTATACCAGGAGAGGAGGTCCCGCAGTTGCGCTGGCCCCAGACCATTTAGGGCTTTTAAAGGTTAATACCAAAACCTTGACCCTGATCTGAGACTCGACCTGGAGCCAGTGCAAATGGCGGCACCGGTTGGATATGGGCTCTACCTGGGATTCCCATATATTATTCTTTTGTTAGCGCTCTTCTCTCAGAGTAGGAAAACGGAACATCAGTCGATTGCACCCATCAACTCTTTTCTGTTTTACACTAACACAAAAAGGTGCAAGTATATTTATGGCAAGACATCGCCATGTCATGCTTTGATCACTCTTCAAACACAGCAAAGCGATAAAAGTCCCCTCAAGAGAAGATGGAATGAGAAACTGCGTCCTTGTTCAAAGGAGAAAGCCAGGGATAATGGCCACAGAAATACTACCAAAATGTTCCAAAGACTGGTCTGTTTCAAAACAAGTTCATCTACCTGTTAATTCACTCTCTCTTCTAGCAAGTCTCCCTCTGTGCCTGGCACAAGCTGAGAGGGAGATGAAAGGAACAGGCTGAGTTTGGGAAACCCGTATGCTTCTGCCCGAAAGAGCATTTCCCTACTAGTAAGGATTGTGTTGCTGTTAAGCCTCTGAATAGACCACTCATGTAAACATTTTGTTTTCATCTTAAAGTGCAAACTGATGGAAGATTGCAAAAGGCAATGATGCGTATACATGGAAGGAGAGACAGGAAAGCTTTCAAAACATCAGTGTCCTTGGCAGAAAGTCTAACCACCACCACCACCACTTCTCCCCCCTTTCCACTCTTCCCTGTTTGCAGACTTAAAAATCCTGAGCCCCAAGAGGCAAGAGCTCCACAGGAGATCCCCTCGCCTTCCAACACTGCCACAGGAGCACTGAATGACAGGCGAGATTAGAAGCAGCAGCCCAGACCCTGTCAAAAGAAGCAAGGCCACCACTTCCCCCATTTTTAGTACTAGAAATAATAACCCCTTCACAGTCCATTCTCTTCTCCAGTGGTGAAAATCAGGTAGTGGAAAGGTTGGCTGCGGGGCAAGGGCAGGGAATGCTTCTGAAAGGAGGACCATCAAACTTTCACCCCACCCTGCTTGCTGCTTCTCAAACTAGGCAGATGGGAAGTCACACAGCTCACGCCGAGCAAAGCAGTCAACCGGTTCACCACACACACATTCAATCAGATGCAATTTTTTCCATCACTCTAATTTTAACATAATGTCTCCACATATGTCAGGCTACAGACATTCACTTCCTATGCCAAACCTCTCCCGTACTGCAGAGAATGACAGCCTAGACTGCCACTCGACTGCTAGCTGGACATTGAGCGGCCCCCAGCTCACACTCGGAGCTCCAAATCCTTGTTAGGGCTCCAGCTACAGATTGTTTCCTACTTCCCCAATTAAGTCCCAAGAGAGCATCTGAGCTTGTCACAAGTTTTTGGCTCCTTGCTTTTCCTTGACACTTTCACCGGCAGGGTCACTGCAAAGAGTTGCAGAAACTACAGCTAAAAGCCCACTAGCAGAACTGTTATCAATCTTTTTTCCCCTAAGCTCTGGGATTGCTCCTGCCCCCCAACTTCCTACCCCTCCCTTCTGATGTCATTGGGCAACCTGCTCCAAGTTCACAGTGGCTATGCAGACTCCCTTAAGGTCCTTTGACTGCCAGGAGCTGAACTTATGTCAGAAGTGAACCAAGGCTGATCTCACAGCTTCTCCAGCTTAGAGAAAACAGGGAAAGCACCCGTGCTGAACTCAGGCAGCCAACAGGAGACCCACGTCAAAACAAATCACATATGCCTTATGGACATGTTTGTTCTGGGCTTTTGAATGATGCTGTGGCTACAGATCAGCAGAGCTGTTTCAAATCTTCTGGAAAGCAGAGGGGTATCATTCACAGCTTTAAGAACAGGATAACTAAGGACACCATTGCCCCAGTGTAAAACTACCCCCTCATTTCCATGCCCTCTGACCACGCCGTGGTCAAACCACTGTCTGCAATGTGGTCCCTGACCAGACTGCTCCGTACAATGACAGCAGGCAAAGGGGAATCAGCAGCTGTGGCACCTAAGGGGAGAGGTCCCTGAAAGAGTCTCGGCTACATTTCATTCTGAGGTGGCAGAGCCTTTTGCCTGCATCTTGGGGCAGAGCCACTAATGTTCATAACGAAAGGACAGCTCTCAGAGGCTGTTCACACTGATGAAATCAGCACCAAAGTGCCCTTTGCCAGCATCTTATCTTGCAAGAAAGGAAGTGACTGAGGCACATAAGGAGAAGGCGCTTTGGGATCAGGGTGTGCTCCAGCAGCCAGACTGGCCACCCGTGGGCTCAACTGACTGACAGACTGCACCTTGCTGCAAATGAGACTCCAAAGGGAGCAGAGATCACAGACGTAGAGACAACCTCGTTCCTCCAAGCACTGTCTGTTTTACGTGATAGAATCTGAGGATGAAAGCTTCAAAAGACAATGAAAAGTCCGGGCAATGAAACAAAATCACAAGCATCCATCCAGGTCAGATCCGCGCCTCGCCAAGCTCCAATTTCCAACCGCTTTACTACGTTTTAGTTGTGGGTTTGTCGGTTTAGATAAGTCAAAAGGTGAAATAAAACAGATACATCCTGCAGCGCACAGCAAAGATCTCAAACGCTTCCTCCATTTACACAAAAATTAAGCAAAGCAGAAGAGACCAGGCACCTCACGAGGACGTGTCTAAAAGAAAGCATTTCTCCTAAGTAGCACAGCACGAATGGATCTTAACAATCTTTTGGGGAAGGACAGCAAGACACACAGTGCACAAATTGAGACTGTGGCGTGAGTGGGAGGTTCAGTTATCCCCACCAAAACAGTCTGACTGCCTGACTCCTCATTAACCCCAGAAGAGTGAGAAAAGACAGGCTTTGCCTTCTCTTTGCAGGTCTTTTCTCTGTCTCGACTGAAGGTTAACAACACCCGAAAGCAGGCAGGTGGGTGTGCTTCAAACAGCAGTACCGACATAGAGGGAGAAACGATCGATCCCCCCTCGGTGCAGGCCCAGTCTTGAGCAGAGGGTCCCAGGCACTGTTCCCTCTAAGCTGAGTTAGTGTGAGCTAGCTCACAGTTTTTTAGCCTCCAGCTCACAGATTTTTGTCTTTGCTCAGGAAGGAGGGCTCCAGAGCAAACTAATTCATGCAGCAGCCAAATCACTCGCTCACAACTTTAAGGCCAGGAGCTCACAAAGTAGAATTTTTGCTCACAAGGCTCCACAGCTTAGAGGGAACATTGATCCCAGGTGGGGGCTATTTGCCTCTAGTCTCAAACATGCTGGGAAGGTGTACTGGCAAAGACCTCAAAACATGACATGGGGTGGGTTTCTGTTCTTCAGAGGCACCTCAAACCTATAAGGAACAAGTCGCTGACTGATAGGTTTCCTTATTTGCATTCAGACGCTCAGAACACACGGGTGCTGTGAAGCGAGACCCGGGCCTTGGCACACCCTCCACAGGTCCTCAGGGCGCGAAAGCCTCCCTCCCGCTTCCCCCCCTTCTCCTCCCGTGGGCCGCAGCTCCGGCCCGGTCCTGCTCCCCGAGATCCATAGATTCAGACGTGCTCCGAGAGTCTCGTGTCGGAAATCCCCAGAGAGTTTCTTCACGTGTCCGATCTGCGGGACCCCTACTCGGACCAGGACCGAGGGGTTAAGCCTGACCCCCCCCCCGCTCCCATTCAGCTTGACGTCCCCCGCGGCTCCCCGCGCCTGGAAACGAAGTTTGAAGATACAAATATCTGGGAACGGCCGACACGCGACTCCCTCCCCGCGCACGTCTGAACCGGCCCTGCGAGAGCGCCGCTGCCCGCCTCTCCCTGACGGACACTTACGAATTTCCGCGATTTCCCTCCGCCGCCGCCTCCTCCTCCGCCCGCGGGCTCCCCCGCCGCCCCCGCGGCCTCCTCGGGGTTCTTGCCCTTCTTCTTCTCGCGGCCGGCCCCGCGCGTGGATCCCCCGCCGCCCTCCATAGCGCCGAGCCGGGCCCCCCGGGGCCCGCGCTCGATGGTCGGGCCGCAAGAACGGAACTCTGGCGGGCCGCGGCGGGCGCCGGCGAGGCGGGACTTCCGGCGGGCGGGGGAAGGCGCGCGATCTGAAGCGGCTCGGGAGTCCAGTGTTCCCTCTAAGCTGAGTCAGCGTGAGCTAGCTCAGTTTTTTAGCCTCCGGCTCACACATTTTTATCTTAGCTCAGGAAGGAGGGCTCCAGAGCAAACTAATTTATGCAGGAGCCCAATCACTCACTCACAGCTTTAATGCCAGGAGATCAATAAGGAGAATTTTTGCTCACAAGACTCCACAGCTTAGAGGGAACATTGCTCGGGCCCTGCCACTGCCCCCTATATACAGGGGGTAGTGGCCCTGCATGACGGGCTCAGACCGCAGCGGCCCTGGAAGGAGGGCGGACGCTGCGCATTGCCCGGAGCTGCTTCTGGGAGGAATACAGATGCGAGGTGTGCGGCTGGAGGGGGGGCCTCCCCCCCGCGCCCTCGACTGGCGAAAGCGGCAGGTTAAAAAAAGCCGCAACCTGGGGAGGAAGCGCTCCTCCGGTGGAGCCCGGGAACGAGCTTGCAAACCATCTTATTCCCCATCATGATTTGTGTGCGTGTACATTGAATGAATGAATGGATTGGATTTATTACAGCGCATAGCCAGCAATATAAAACCATACCTACAAATATTTATCATATAAATAGGTTACAATGTCTAAAATATCCAGATGGTAAAACTATTTGTGTAAAATTATACAAGCATTTTAAACTCTAAAACCAGAAATACGGTGTAAAAAAGGACAGGATTTTAGTCTTAAGAAAGTAAAATAATAAGAATAAAAAGATCAATTAGATTAAAAACAAACAGTCCTAACCCAAGTGGCTGCCTGAACACTGATGAGCTTTTACAACCAAACAACAAAATTTCGCTATCTGGTGTAGCGCTATATGATCAGAATTTAAAAGCAATTTCTCTATCTTATCCTGATCCGAGGAGCCAACCAAGAGAGGACCAATAAGTTTTGTGCGAGCTTCGTTATATAATGGACATCTTAGGAACACATGTTCCTGGGATTCTATCTCCCCAGACGCACACATGCATAGCCTCTCATTTCGGGGAGTTTTCTTGAATTTGCCCTCAAGAACTGCAGAAGGTAAAGCAGAGCATCTAGCCAGCGTATATGTGCATGTACATTGATGTGGTATATGATCACAACTGCCAGAATGACTTATGCTCAATGTTGGAAACAAGATAAGGTCCCTGGGATTGAGGAACGGATAAAGAAACTACTTTTTTTATGGTTGAGATGGACAAGATGACAAGAAAACTTAAAAACCTAGAGGCTGAAGATTTTTTTTACAGATTGGAAAGACTTTAGAGAATATCTAGAGAAATATTGGGACTTAAAGAACAACTTATTTTACTTTGATAACTATTGAAAGTTAGAAGATAAATGTATAAAAATAACAGTTAAAAGATAAGTTACCGGTAGATGTATAGAGAGGCAGAGAGGTTGGAAGTAACTTCAAGAACTGAGCTGGAGGTTGGAACACTGTGGGAAGGGGTGGGAGAAAGGAGAAAAAGGATGTATAACAATATAAATTTTGATGTATGTTTGATTTTATTATATCCTAATAAATTGTTTTGCAAAAAAAAATGATTTGTGTGCATGTTATATTCAGTTTTAAGCATATAATTTCGTTTTGTAAGTTGTACATGATGCACACACACACATGGCCTTAAAGGTGCTTCAGGAACTCCCTGGAACCTGAGAACCATGTTAGCTTTTTCCATCTGTAGTTGTAGCAAACGGCTTTCTTGGAAGTTTTGCTTTGTTTCAACTTCTCCCATTCTTTTCTTAAATTTCTTACTTGTGGTGTCTATCTCTTTAATTTTCTCAGCTGCCTGCTCCACTTTCTTCTCCGTTTCTTTCATCTGGAGCTGCTGAGATGCAAAGTTCTTATTCATCACGGTCAATTGCTGGTTAATACCATCGAGTTGCTCCATCACCGGCTTGAGCATGTCCGCTAGCATTTTAATGACATCTGCTCCCTCTTCCGGTTTTAGGCTCTGGCTGCTTGGCGGTTTCGTTTTCAACTTTCTTTGCTGGGCCGCCATTTTTCCCAATTTTTTTACAGTTTCTACGCTTCTCCCCGACTCGAAAAATTGCCCCACAATGTCGGTATTCAAGTAAGTCTCTCAAAACACACTTGATGTGTTTCCTCCCCTCTCCCCCTTAGTGTCGTTTATCAGTTCATTCGCATAAGAGGCGTCCCTCTTTGCGGTCCACTTTTGCCGGGGGGGGGGGATCCGCTTTTACAATAATCCGGTTTATTCTGAACTCAGGTTAATTGTCGGTCAGTTTCTCTGACCTCACTCACTTTAAACGTCATTCTGCTCGATCTCCGGCGCTTGTCCCGGTCAAACCAGCTTGTGCCCGGAGGCCACACAGCAGCTGGACCGTCAGGGCGGAGGGGAGCCTCAATTCTCCGGCGTTCTGCCGTCAAAGAGGCTACCCCTCAAAGTCCTCTGGCCTGGAGCCTATCGCAAAGGCTCCGTGGGGGTGTCACTTGAGGTGGCACCCCTCCAAACCGCTGGTGTGCGGATCGCTCTCCCGCAGTTCAGGGAGAACGTCCGCCATCGCTGCTCCATAAACCGGAAGCTCCACTTAGACTTGATAAGAAAGTATTGTACACATTTCAGTTTCTCTCCAAGCGTCAGGGTGTTTTGTTTTTTTCCTGGAAAAACACCCGGACAAATGGTGTTTTTCACCATACCTCCAACATTTCCAGAAATTTTACATCTCTAGGAATTTCTTCATGGACATATATGTCCAGATGCCCCTATAAACAATTTTAGGAAATAGAACAGATTCAGATGGATACCCATGTTGGTCAGAAGCAGCAGAACAAAGTTTGAATCCAGTGGCACCTTTAAGACCCACAAGGTTTTATTCAAAGTGTAAGCTTTCGTGTGCAAGCACACTTCCTTAGATCTTCCACTGTATCTGAAGAAGGGTGTGTCCACGCGAAAGCTTATACCTTGAATAAAACTTTGTGGGTCTTAAATGTGCCACTGAACTCAAACTTTGTTCAAGAAATAGAACATTTAGCCATAAACCCCCCCCCCCCAAAAAAAAAAGATTCCTCAGCTAGTGGATCTTTAAGTGGGATTATGTGATGTAACTCCATCCAAAATAATTTCCATTGACTCTTTACATAGTATGTTACACGAAATTGTTTCCATGTTTTTCCCCCTTGGGAAGGATCTTATTTATTCCTGGATTTTCTGGTCTCAGAAGGGAAAGTGGTCATATTGTTCTTTTTCTGTCCCAGTAAGCTTGAGTCCTTTTATCTAGTTTGTGTGCAACATTCCCTTGTATTCCATTTCAGGGCTCTTGAAGACTCTGTGTGTGGGTGGGGGTGGTCAGACGGCGTGCTGAGAGCGGGTTAAACTGCTCTAGTTCTAACCGGATTATATTATATCTGGATAATCGTGATAACACTTACCTCCCTTATCCTGCCTCATTGTGCAGTCACGTCGGTCCCTGGCGTCTACACTACTGACGTGCGTTGGTGGGTTTTAATTTTTTCTCAGTTTGCGCATGCGCATAGGCGTCCCTCCATAGAATGGGGGGGAACTATCATGGCGCATGTGCAGAACCACCAGGGCGAATCAATCCAACCCTTCCAACAAAAGACTTCCCTTTAAATGTTTGACCCGAAAATGGCCTCCGTGAGATCCAGAACTCATCTAAACGCTAAAACAAGTGACCGTTTAAATGTTGGTTTTCTAAACACGGTGGCGGAGTTCCACCAATGCGCACACCGCCAACGCATTAAAAAGTGGCGGGCAAAAAGCAGAAACCTCAGGCAACTTTCAAGCGGGGAGGGGGGTTAAACCGGAAGTGGCTTTACACCCGGGGGGGGGACTCACACAGGGTGGAAATGCGGCTTTAAATGGGAGAGCTGAGAAAACTCCACTTTGGGACCTGGTAACAAAATACTCCAGGTTAAAGCAGTTTTGAGCCAGAAACCAATGGCTGGGGATGGGAGGCAGATGTTGACTGTGTGATCGTGCAGATAAAATCTGTTGCTGAAGAGTGACCCAGGGCTCTTTTTGTAGAAAAAGCCAAGCAGGAACTCATTAGCATAATAGGCCCCACCCAACAGCAGAAACTCATTAGCATATTAGGCCACAACCCTGACAGCACAGCTCATATTAGAACATTAGGCTGCACCCCCATGTTACCAGAAGTGTGGTCATCCAGCCACACCCACCTTTTGCTTCTTATTTTGTTTACCTTGTTTGTTGTCAAAACCCAGGGCCTTTTTTTGTAGCAGGAACTCCTTTGCATGTTAGGCCACACACCCCTAATGTAACCAATCCTAATGAGTTTCTGCTGTTGGGTGTGGCCTATTATGCTAATGAGTTCCTGCTGGGAGTGGCCAACTCGGGAGCCAGCCGGAACTCCGTTCCTGTGCGTTCCTGCCAAAAATAGCCCTGGTGACGACACCAGATCAAACGGCACGTGTGTGTATACTTATAATTGCTTTGCTAATGTATGTTTTATTCTTCTGGTCCATGAGGAGGGGGGGCTTCTCCCCTCTCTTTTTGGTACCAAGCAGCAGAGGTAGCTGTGCCTCTAGTTGCCCACTCCTCTTTGCTCTGCAGGTGGGGGTGCTAAGAACAGGGCTTGGGGGAAGAACTCTGTGTAGTGTACAACCTTCCCTGTTTAGGGTTTTCCCCCCCTCCCTCATGTTCCTTAGTGATACCCAACTGTGCATGCTTGCTGGCACAATGAATCGCACGTTTGCTTGTCTCATGCATTCCTTTCTATGAACGCTAGTGCTGCTTTGAACTATGGTAATCAGCAAGGTCACAGGTGCTTCGGCTTCGCTTAGTCTATAATGAATTAGAGTGTGAGAAGAGCTTAATTGTTTATCTTTTGGGAACCATTGATTCCCATGCTATGGGCGCG